GACCTCAGTTGTCTTTGTCTGATATCAAGTATCAGCCCATTCGAGTAATAAAGTAGGTTCATACAGCTTAATTAGCACGCCATGTTAACTCTGTGCTGTCTCACCAAAACAGCCATGACATAATCAATCTGATGAGTTGGAACGAATCCCTTGGAGTGCAGCTGATCAATAGCCCAATAGGAAGTTCTCTGGTGTTAAAATGGATAGCTGCAGTATAGCTGAATTAGAGGCGACATAAAAGCTTTCCTTGATCACAAGACAGACAGATGAATGAATCGATCTGTGGAGATTCTTGTCCTTTTGTAAAATTGAAGGCACTCATTAAACCTCCCACACACACCCCCACCCCTTTTATTAAGAAAAGCAATTGAAAATATTTGTGACATATAAACATGTTTGGGCTACAGCTATGAGCGCTACACATTTCATGCAGTGTTGGCAAGTTTCATACGGCTTCAAATATGCAGGTAAATTTGCATCACTTCAATGAATTAACTGATTATTCATCCTCTATTGGGACCTACCTGATATCTCACCAGAGACCATCACAAAGGGCTGCGGTTTCCGGATTCTGATGGCATCTTGATACTAACTGCTATGAACTGCTGCACCTGATTGTGAAATCTATTTCTTTTCACCCCAGTTATGTGTGTAAATACCACCGACAGGCTTCCCGCTGCCGTGAATACCGAGCGCCACTACCCAGGGAAAACGTGGGTGTCTGAGGGAACATTTGTAGAATAGAAACACGCGTTATGCCTGTCAGAACTGCCTTTTATTTTTACAGTCTGCCTCTCAGCACAAGAGCCTATGCTAGCTCATGTTAAAAGACTGCACTCAGAAAGGGAGTTTTCATTGCAGCGAATATAAATGGGGGCAGCGCCTTTAATTGCAACAGAAATGCACTAAGAACAGACGTGGCACGGATCCCATTAATGTAACAAAACTGCTTTGCTGCATTTCTAGAGCAGCAGTTCCCAAACATTTTTAAGAGAGCCCAACACAATGGTAGCCAACAAAACTACAATAGATAACTACAATATATGGCTTATAAAAGATTATATGCTGAAAGACTTTAACCATTTTGGAATAATCTTATTTTCTTCAGTGCTAGTAGGTTATACTTAGGGTGTACGAGGTGTACACAAATATTATGAATGTTGTGTTTTTTTTCACACTCCATCTCAGTGACAGGTGGTCTCTGTGATTTTTCCTTTTCATGTGCACAATACTCACTTTGGCTCTCTCATCTCTCATCCAATATGTTACGAATGGACAGTGCCACAGATGATGGCGGATAGCTTTCTTCCACAAGCAGCCAAAATACGTCCATTAAGCTATTAGCCAAGTGCCGTTTAGCCATTTTAGTAAACTCTAATTCAGGCTGTGTCACAGTCACAGGCTGGCTCTGTCTTTGTGCTGTTTTAAATCTTTCCATCACTTGCTCTGACCATCACTATTTTTGCGCCAGCTAAGCTCCTTAAAAACTTCCAAGCCAGAAAGCCTGTTGAGTTTCTATGACAACCGGCAACCATGAGTTGACACTTAATTCGCTGCAGCATGACTGTGTTTTTAATGTGGTCATTTTTTATTTGTTTTATCCCCCCTTTTGTCTTCGTTTGTTTCTTTAACATGGTTAAAGCACAATAGCTAAACAATTAATGATCAGTCTGAGGGGATTTTGCCTGAACCCCAGGGAGTCACTTTGGCAAGAACTGTTTTTTATCAACACAACTCCACATCAACTAACCAAAGACTTTTTTTGATTAATGAAAACTGCACATGGCTTTTTCATACTTTGAAAAATGCAGTGTTGAAGTCAATAGAGTTCATACTGAATGATTTCTATCATTTTTCCCCCTCCAGCTGCATTTGGATAAACCACATGCAGGGCACTGCCATACTGTAAGTGCACGAATGACAGTAAAGCCAAATGATTTGCAGTCATTACAGTTAGAAGAATTTGCTCTGCCAGCTGTGTGGAGACCTATTTTCAAACTAAAAACTTCATCAGCGGGCACACAGTGAGTTACTATGCATGCAGGCTTGGCCGTGAGTCAGGCATTGGTAATTTCTGACTACCGGCCAAAAATGTAAAGTATATCCCATACTCCCTTGGTGCTTGTGACTTGGATGACTCCTCAGGTAGTTCACAGAAAAAGTAATTACAGCTAATTCAGCCATTAAATCTATTTTGAATCTATATGCTCAGGCCTATTTTATTTCCTGCAGTTTGTGTCAAATGCCATCCTTCTTGCCCACCAGATATAGCCTGACAATGATTCACTTCAGAAGGCGAATTCCAGCAGTAATGTATCAATTTAAATGAAGTAACAGCATCCGGATAGAACTGGATAGAAAAAAAAGGTGAGAACTGACTTACAGTAGTTAGTGAAACTGTTTCCACAAGTAGCTGGCTGATATGACTTTTTAAGGGGCAGCGAGATGGAAAAATACATGTTGTTCCATTTGAGATTTACTCATGTGTGATGCCAACCAGAGCAGAATATTGTTGGAATACCAAAGCCATAACCCTCTCTAGCATTTATTCTCACAGATTCACAGATACGCATGTCTCCCTGGACGACCACGGCCATGCGTTTTGCTGTGACGTCATCTGGACATTTGCTGTGTTTGAAAATGAACGCCAAGCCCAGAGAGACTTTCCCAAAATGTCAGATTGTCTTCTTTCATACCATACCCAACACCTCATGCACTAAAATGACCGACTAAATTTAGTGAAATGCCATACACCCAAAAATACAACAGTAGTGAGTGCATGTTATATTCATGAGCCCCTCTATGATGCTACACATGCAGACGCTCTGCTCACAACGGGCTCCATAATTGCATTCACTCCCATGTCAGGGCACTGTAGTAGCATAAGACATCATGAATATAAAGGTTGCATTATATTCCACAAGGGAAGAAGAAGACAGCGAGGGGGTGGTGGTGGGCATAGAGTGCAGAGTTATCCACAATAGACAGATGGGGAGTTAAAGTCTAAGCTTCCCTAGTGGTTGCCCACTCTCGTCCGTATTGGATGGGTGATGCAAAGGTACAGTAATAAACAGAATGATTAGCAGACAGCAGATGGAGGGTAAGCGAAAAAGCACACACACTACCATATGACAAAATACCTCATTTTTTATACTTGTCAGGACATTCAGCTGACTCATATCCAAGTCCAGACTGCATAACTGTTTCCGAGCAGTCCTGACAACCCTGATATTTTTCCTCTTTAAATATTTTCAACAGCTCTGTCAGTTACTTGAGTTACTGTAAATCCAATGTCAAATCATTTCCAGAATTCCCTTTTTTCCTTTTTTTTTTTCTTTTCTTTTTTTTTACAAAAAGTGACAGCTAAAATAAATCAAACTACTCCACTTGCCTCAAGGTGCTTAAGAAATAGAAAAATTAACTGGACGCTCACTTTTAAATGAGTTGTTGAAATTTAATTTAAGTATCTGAGAATGAAAGGACAACTTTTATTACGCCTTCCAAAATGAGATGTGCACATAATTTTACAAAGACGGAAATATATCAATCAAGAGAGGGTTTGATGTCCTGAAGATATAATAAACCCCCTGATCCCTCAATTTCCCTCAAAATGAAACAAATCAAAATCAGCCACTGGAAGAAAATGAGATCTGAAAGCTTACTTTTGGCATTGCACTAGTGAGTAAAATTGATAGATGAAGTTAGATGAGATTAATCACTTAGATTCCAAAATTTTAAATTTCAGAATGGCATGTATCCAGTATTAGCTCCAAAGAGCACATTGTTTATTTTCAGTTCCTTATCTGATAGCAAGATATTGACAGTTCGGCTAAACATCTGTAAAGCAAGGGGAAACCCCCGATATTATTATAAGCATTGATCATGCTCAATCAGAATTTGGGCTTAGTCATTAAGGGAGTATAACTCTTAAAGACTGCTTGGGTCTAGATGTCTTAAAAACCTGAAGAGGGCGCCAAACTACCCACTGCTGCTGCTCCAGCTGAGGAGAGACTTGCTGCTTCAAATCGAATTTTTCTGTCTCAACAAGTGGAGCATATTATTTCTTTTTAAATTAGCTATAAACAAAGATTTTACTCTTTTATTCATACGAATCACTTGTCACAACAAACTAGATTCTGACTATTTTAACTTGGGTCACAAAATATCTGAAAACAATCAGCTTAGAAATCAGGTTTACTTTTATATAATTATGTAAAACACAATGAATGAATGAATTATTATTAATTAATTAATATCATAAATTGCGCAGACGCCTCACTGGGTTTTGCTTCATATCCCTATGCCTGTTTGATCAGGGATCATACTGTTGAGCCTCTGTCTTTAACCATTTATCTGAAAAGTATACCATTTACTTCTCCACTGGGGAAAAATATTACACTAATTAAAACCATTTAATTGAAATTGTGTTGCTAGGAAACAGCTTTTAGTCTCTGCATGCTCTTGATATTACCACTAACACTTAACAGGAAAAAAAAAACACAAAACAATAAAGTGGGCTCATTCACAGAATAATATTTCCCGTACTTTGAAATAGTCTTTATGGCCACCTCTGTGTGACAATGGTGAAAGTGAAACACGTGTAAACGTGCATGATATGTCTTTTCTCTCGCTCTCTTTAGAACACTTGTAGTCACTCTAATAGAATATCATCAAACTGAGATTTTCTCAATTCCCCCCCCCCGGAACTGCCTGCAGGACGCCCGAAGGGCCTATACCGGGACCCCATTTGGGAACCACTTAGCCCGACTTCCTAAAAACTTAAAAAGTTGTGCATTGCCAAAAAAAAAGACAGTTCCCGAAAAAATGTCGGCCTGTGGCAGAAGCATCACCAGCACCAGTAGGAAGAGCTGCATACACCAGACTAACACAGACATCCCACTATTTCGGGCCAAAAGTAGTCTGATGTAGCAGATGAATGCTACATGACAGACAGCACCTCATCCACCCTGTCTGATAAAGGAGGCATGGTGAAACATGAGCAGGCGGCGGTGTAGACTGTGTTTTTGGGTGGTGATTGCAAAGGTCTGTCAAAGCTAGATCTCTTGAATTCCAATGCTTCCATCTCCCTCTCTCTCCCCCTCTCTCTCCTTCTCTCAGCATCCAGCAGCTGCGCCTCTCATGCCTTTCCTGACGCTGAGCGAAGCCTCCCATACAGATGAGCGCCTGGAAGCCACGCACCTCTTGACGTAGCTACAGACCGGTTGCGGTGCCACTCTGTCTCCGTAGCACGTATTGCGCAACGTGACCGCTGCTCAACTGGCACCACGGCGGGCACATCCGGCTCCCACCGTCGCCTGAAATCGCCAAAAAGTGGTGTGGTGACGCCGAGACAACCGAAAGCATCGCCGGGGAGCTGTGGATAAACCATCCGGCTGCTCCTGACCGGTCTGGACCCTCCCCTCCCCTTGCCTTTCTTTCTTTTTTTTTCTTTTTTTTTGCCACCGGGAGAGATGAGTCGAGCGCGCGGCATCGGGGTGCAGTCGGGATGTGACTATGTGAGCGCGAGAGCCTCCACTGTATACAGCAGCAGCTGGACTACTTTAAAGCGCAGAAGGTGAAAAGTGACAAATCTGTCAGTGTTTTTATTATTATTATTATCATTATAATTACTATTATTATTATTATTATTATTATTAAGCAGAGGAGGTGCTTTCGTTTGACAGCTCGCAGTCACCGCAGCAGTAAGCAGCAGCAGCAGCCGTGGAGAGAGCTATGTTCGTGGGTACCGAGCCGCAATCCGCTTGTAGTCGAAAGAACCTGCGTGTCCCCGCGGGTCTTTGCTAAAGTCTACGGAATCGGTGGAGCTCACCTACCTGCAGTGGAGGAGAGTTTTTTTTTTTTGTTGTTCCAAGGCCAGGCTTTCTGCAGCCCCACTCCCCGCGCCTGCCTGCTTCTCCACGTCCTCCGTGGTGGTTGTGTCTCCGCGAGCGCTCCGCATTTTTTGGACTGCGTGACACTTCCCATTAAACCGACCGTTACCTGACTCTGTTCTCCTGCTGCTCCCATACATACCTTTACAGCGAACAGTTGGCGGAGGGAGGGGTGGGGGAGTCGGGGTCTAAATCAATCTTACGTGTGGATCGGAGCGGTGCCCGTGTCTATGCACCTCAGCCACACCGCCCCGGAAAGGACTTCTCGCTTTTGAGAGCTGGATATGCAGAGATTAACGTGAAAAGGATGGATCTAACTATCTGTGTTTTGGGGCTGTTGGCGCTCATCGTGGACGGCATCCGTTGTCAGGGAGTGTATGGTGAGTTTTTGCAATTTACTCCAAATGCGATAATGACCTTGTAAAATGGAAGGGAAAAAGTGGTTTCTCATAAATCGCCTGTTGTAATCCCCTTTAAATTCACAAGGAGAAACGAATGAATGAAAGAAATGCAAAATCAGCTTGCGCCAGGTTGACAAAGCAGGTCTGAATGTCACGTTTGAATAAGGGGGGCTCCGAATGCCCCGAGGTTATACAGCAAATCGCGTGTGTAGCCAATCATACACAGCCCCTTTTCTCATCCAATCCATCACTCACGGTGGTCGGTGAGCAGGCTAAATTTAGGAGGGAGGGGGGCATCCAGTGGATTGTTACAATGAAGCATGCTAGATTTTGTCTCGAATCCTTCCGACTGCAGATGATTTGTTAGTTATAATTCAAATGGTGGACGTGGCAAGCACCTTACATTAGGCCAGATACATTTTTTTTGAATGTCATCCATTAAGGCTATAATCTGTTGAGCAGCGACACTTGGCACGCACAGTCATGAATGGTTTTCATGTGTGGTGGATCAGTCTGCCCACCTCTTTCGTATGTCTGTCTGTCTGAATTTGTCTCCCTCTCCCAATAAACACGCTTAGCAAGGAGCACACATTTCCGTCTGTGGTTGTGCAACCAGTGGCACAGATCATATCTCAAGTGAATCGTCATCCACAGAGCACCGGCAGCAGCAGCAACAGCAGCACTCTGAGTGATTCATGTGCCCTAACATGGGACATGGACTTGAGTTGGACAGCCCTGACCTCTCTGTAGTAACAGTGGCTGTTAGGGGACATTGTCAGGTCAAGTTAAGATGTGGGATTGTACGTTTCAGAGGCCGTTGCCAAGCGCTTCAAAAGATCTTTGTTGCCATGGTGTGTGAGTGTGAGCGCAGAGATGATGTAGCAAGAAAAGGTTACTGTGAGCATGACAGGAACAGTCATGGTGTTGCATCTGACCAATGATGCGCCAGGATTTTATCTGTTCTCCTCCTCTGGAGAAAGGAGGTAAATGAGATAATAAATCACAGCATATGCCCCAGCAGCCGTGGCATGACTGTTCATTTGCTTATACAGTTATTCCAATTACCTTATTTCTCCCACACCTGACACCTGTTGGAGCGTTATTTCACATTGAATCACATCTGAAAATGTGAAGGGTGCGCATACACAGACACACACACACACACACACACACACACACACACACACACACACACACACACACACACACACACACACACACACACACGCACATCGATTTTATATCTTCAAACCTCAAAGCGGCACTCATTAAGCAGTCTCAGATTTGTACTTTAGGTGTTGTTGTTTGGAGTTAGCGAATTACTCGAGTTACGTATTAAGCCCGAGGGCAGAAGTTCTCATCAAACATTGATGCCTAAAGAAATCATTGCTTTTGCTCGATTCAATAACCACTAAAGCGGCCTTGCGAGATATATTCAGGTCAGGCAGGCATGACACTGACTATCAAAACTGATGTCTGATTAAAGCTGTGGATTCTTGGTGTGAGCAAACAGTCTACGGTGCAGCATGTGCAAGCTCATTAGAAGGAGTCGTAGCCCATAGTGTTTGATATGATGTTGAGAGAGTGGTAGGTGTTGGGCTTGTAGCAGCAGCAGAAGGGACCGGGTGGGTGGGGGGAAGGTTTAGCAGATGGAACTGTTTGGACGTTCTGTGTTTGCATGTATGTTGTGCAGGCTAAAATGTTCCCCTGAGCTCTGTCAGCCCCCCCGACTTTCCAAAATTTGTGTGCCTCAGTAAAGATTTGCATAAGTCTTGCTTTCTAATCCCACTAACACAGTAATGGGAGATGAGCTGCACAGGTAGAGATAGACAGGTATAGGTTCTCAATCTCAAACTGTTATTCTATTCTTTTGAAAAATGACAAGGTATCGGCAAAAACCTCTAAACTATGCTTAAAGCAAGCTGCGTGCATCTCTTGGGAAGCGCTGTCAGTAAAAAAAAATCTATTGGTGAGGTTCAAAAGTCAACATTTATTATTGATAGTGGCAAAATATTTGCATGTCCCCGTCAATGTATGCACTGAAGGGTCTGACGCATGGAGGGTGTGGGAATTGTGCACCACAGGTGAAAGGCAGTGAGTGGGTGACTGGGTAATGCGAGAAGGGTTGACACATGAAAGTAGCAGTTACCAGGATTTCACGAAAGTTTTCAGGCAGAGCAAAGCTTCACTGCGCTGCACTACATATGTCACATCTTTGAAATTGGAGTAAAAAAAACAAACAAATTAGCAATAGATATTCTTAGTTTCACATGGTGAACTGCATTTCAATATTCACCCCACTAGATTTCATTATCTTCTTTTTGTTACACTCAAACCATCTCCTATCTTTCCTTCCCACAATTTCTAAATTGACCCCAGTGCTTACAAATGGGACAATTTGCAAAAATGAGACTTTCAGCGATTAGTTTTATCCCTGAGCATTGCTGTACGTCATCATCGGCCGAGTAAATGGTGGAATCATGGTGTAGTAATGAAGAAATCACATACTAGTGTGTTAAGTGGTGCTGCCAGAGTCATTAAAGAGGATTGATGAAGGCTAGTCATCCCTCCATGACTTCAGGCCACAGTGGGAAAAGGAGACACCGCTAAAGTACAACATCTGCTCCTCTCACTCCACTCCCTCCCTAATTCTTGCCTCTTTTTTTCACACTTCTCCAGAAGATTGCTCTATTATGCCCATGTCTAATATTTGTTGCATTCCAGATATCCAGTAGGCCAATAACTGCTCCACCATCATAGCAAAATGGAGCTATCCCAATGCGTACAAACCTGGAAATATTCTCAAATGACATTAATGTGTAATGGCAACCAAGCTGTACTAAATAACAATATCAAAAGACTACAAGGGAACATGGCTCCTGTGATATCTCGGAAGTGTTGTTATGCGTGTTACTTTTCTGGAGATGTTCTTCCTCAGTATGTTCTCTTTGCATCAAAGTCAGTCGGCGACAGCTTCCATGGGATGTGCAGATGTTCCCGATCTCGTTTGTGTTTTGCTACTTAAGAGAAAAAAGTTCCTGCTGCTTCCCCTCCCATTCCACTTCTCCCTCACTCGCTTCGCCTTGCTCTCCCCATTTCTCACTTGCTCTCCCTCTCTCTCGTTTGCATTGAAGTCCAACCAATTGGTGGGGTTTCTTTTCATGAGCCCCGGTTCAGACGCTTTGGCTTCTAAGCTATGCAAATGCATTCTGCCAGTGAAACTAAAGCCGTCTTTGTTGGTTCTCAGAGGCCTCCTCCACAGAGTCCTTCATCATTCCCTTGGATCGGGACCCTCACATTTCCCACCGTAATGAGACCACGGATAACTCTATCGCTTCTCCTCCCTCTCACTTTCTGTCTCTGTTTCCTTGCCTGTCTATCTCTTTCCTGTCTCTCCCCCCACTCTCTGGAGGGAAACTGTACGGATGGACGTCTACAGTATATGTGCTTCAATCAGTGGTAAAATAGGATATGCGGCTCAGTATAGCCCAGAACAAGCAATCTGGTGCAGTGGAACTCTTTGCTGTGCACATTGGGGATTACTATGTACCCCTGGGTGGGGCTTCAGATAGCACCAACTTAATCAAACCGAATGTCAGTTCTCTTTGGACCCAGTCCTCTGAGATTGGCACTGAATATACAGTGCAGAGACAATGTTTGATCTTGAAGTCTGAAGCACTCCTGCCGTACTCAGTTCTCACTGGCTAATCCTTGACAGTTTTACTTTAATACCCTAATACAGTGTGATTAAGGTGAAACATGTTTTCCATTGTGGTGAATTTTGGAAACCAGATTTCATAATCTCTCCAAATTCAAGTTAAAGCGGTGCTCCATCAAATACTATTCTTTTTTCACAGGTATTCCTATTATCAATTAGTATGCCTACTGGAGCAAGAGAGGGTGAGCAGATCTGATTTTTAGTATGGGTAAAAGTCCATCACCAAACCGTACATGGTAACAATACACTGCCTTTTGTAAATACACCTGAATGCTGATGCCTTTGAAGAAAAAAAATGTAAAAATGCAACACACTGTCCATTTTTATGGACATTTTTTATGTCCTAGACTTTGGTTGGTCGGGATGTTGCTGGTTAAAGTTTTTGTTACTTAGCTAGCAGAGCATCAGGACTGAGACTCCTAAAGCAATTAATCAGTCCCAGCAAGCATTCATCTTGAGGATGTTTTAAAATGTTGAAAACAGCAGTACTGTTATAGATGTGTGGTGCAAGGAGTATAAGACTCGTAAAAAAGCAATTACTTGGGTGCTTCTGGTGTCTGATTTTTTTTATCTTAGGATGACCAGCTCATATTGATTTTTGCCAATTTTGATTTTCTTTTTAAGAACTATAAATGACAGCAAATGCAACAACAATCAACTTTTCTTCACTGCCTAAAGAAATTATTAAACTTTGCAGTCTTCCCCAAACTGCTCTAAGATACTTGATCATCTTTCACTTAAACAGCTTAAAATAAAGTGGTGTGTGAAGTGCTCCAAACCCACCTTTACCTTATGTTAGATTTGTATTGTTGATTGTCATTTATGCTTAGAAATATTTAACCATATATGCTTAGAAGTGTATAATCATTTGTAGATTGAAAGAATGTCTCATCCTAGGAGGTCTGTAACAGCTCTGTGTAGCATGAAGGGGGAGTGCGTTCACTCCCTCTACAGAGTGTTCTGGCATAGATCACACACCTCCTAGGAGAGGTCGTATCTTCTCTTGCTGATATATGGTATAGCAAACACACGTATATCTGTTTAAGTATAAGAGCCCTTTGTTCAGATAGATCTGCTAGACGCCTGGCACCAGCTAGCACCAGAGTCTTCACAGGGTCACACCTTGACCTCACACACACACACACACACACACACACACACACACACACACACACACACACACACACACACACACACACACACACACACACAGAGTATTCTTTGTTCACATGTATACCTATGTAAGATGTCATATGTTAAT